TAAAATTGCATTTCTGAATCAAAGCAGATGTTTGAAAATTTTAAAGATGTTGCAATGCTTTAAAAAACTTTTTTTTATTTTTATTGAAATGTGTTTTATATAATTTTTAATTAATTTTTCAAAATTCACAACTAAATAATATTAACTAGATTACTAACTTACTTACTTATTTGGCCATAACAACCCATTACCGAGTTTCGGCCTGACGCAGCATTTCTCCCTAGGCGCTTCTGCTGCGTGCGCGCTTTCTCCAGTCTCGTGCATCAAGTCTAGTTAGTGCTCCCTCAACACTCCACCGGAGAGAAAGTCTATCTCTACGTCTTCTTCCGCCAACTACTGCTTCACACACCTTTTTCGGTGGAGCATCTTCATCCATTCTCACAATATGACCGCTGGATGTTAATTCGCTGATTTATATCAATGCAATTTCAAAATAAAAAAATTGTCTGCTTTTATGTCTAACTTTCCCCCTCAAACAGTATATAGACAGTTCGCCCCATAGTACTTCGTACATACTTTTGCTCGACTGAATAACATAATTCGTTTCTCTATACCATGTACACCATCATCGTTGATGCATCGGTGTAATAGCACATTGCCCCGTTAACACTCCACTATGATGAAAATAATTCATAAATCTTCCGTATAAATTACTATTATCGTTATCTTCATGTTGTAATTTTAATTATTAAATTCGTCAATTGGAATAATGTACTACTTGTTAAAAAAATTAAATATCTTAGTGCATTCATAATAGTATGAGAGGTAAGACTTAGTGCTACATGCTTATAGAAAGATGCTGTCACGAAGTGCTTTTCATCTCCTTAATATATTGGTGTTATGGTTTAAGATTAATTTCTTACATTAACATTTTTAAAATAATATTTACATTTTATATAATTTAACTGTTTACTATAAAATTAAAAACAAAATTTTTTTAAATTGAATTTTTCCGGTTTTAAAAAAATATAAAATTTTCTCATGGATGTTAATAGAAAATTAAAAAAAAATTTTTTTTATGACTATTTTCATTATGAAGAACGACCAAATATTGAAAAACTAATACGGATTATAATAATTTATTGAATAAACTTAAAATATTTGATATGCTCTGTTTGTTGTATTAATACTCAAAGTTCATACTTAAAAAATAAAATGCTATAAGAGGTATTGTTAAGAAAAAAATAAAAAAATTAAATTGTTATATGGGCAGTAAAAATTCATATGAAGACACTTGAGCCAAACGATATTTAAGTATTTTGTATCCAGTCGATACGTCCAAACAACGAATTTAACGATTTAATATTTATCTTCATCATATTTGCAACTCCAGCTTGCCACACTATTTCTATTTTGCAAGGCCTTTATTGGAAAATATTTTTTATATTTTATTTTTAAAACTTTATAGTTAAGATACTTTGGTAGACTGCCTTTGGTTCATAAATTAAAGTTTAAGAGCATTTGCCACAAAAAATACGGAATTACAAGAAAATTAGCATATCAGCCAACAGAGCATAACTGTCTTATATTTAAATAAAAATTACAAATAAATAATATTTTTATGTCTAACTTAAAAACTTTACAAAAAATTTTTTATTGTTAAATTCTAAGTAGCGAAATATATTTGTCCAGACAACATTTCAGCACGTTATTATTATTGTTTTGCATAATAATTGTAAATTTATTATATTGTACAATAAAAATACTCAACAAATAATTATAACAACCATTTCAAATTTTGATATCTATTGTATTCTAAAAATAAAAGAAAACAGTATAGATTTGTATAATGTAATATATAGATATGCCCTATAATATATCTCATCTGAAATGTTACAAACTTTTTTTAGGTTTTTTTTTTAAGGAAGTGGTGGTGAATGCTTAGAAGTGGTTGGAAGTTGATACTTGAACTACTTATAACGTCTGAGCACAGAACTCTAAGTCGTAGTCGTCGGAGGGCAGAATAAAAACCTAGAATATGTCAGATAATGTACTCATTCTTTAAACAACATGGACCTCAGCTGCTGTCAGCGAGTCGAAGAGAAGGAGATGTTTGACGCAATTGGTGTGAATAATGATAATATCAATCAGTTGTCTACAGTACGTCAACGTGTGTCGTTCCATTACACCAAGGCATTTCGGAGGGTTACGTAGCGGTAAAATTTTATCGCTGCAAGGTTACTGGCCTTGCGATCAAGCTCTAACCTGGTGGGCCAGATTTCGTTATATGCTAACCTGGAGATAGGAATGGTGTTTAGTAGTTAGAGAATTTCCGCTCAACTATGTTTTCAGGTCAAGGTACACACTGGATTTTGTGCCAAATAAGAAGAAGAAGTAGTCCACAGTCTTTGCGATGATGTGTTTTACTGCAACTTTTCCTATTTTCCAGTAAAAGTACTTTAATTGAGTTTTGGCTATTCAATATTTATATTAGATTGGATTCAACCGTCAATAGTTAGTCTTACGAAGGAAATAAGGCAAGTCGAGAAAAGGTTGTGTTCCACAAGGTACCGTATTAGAACTGGTTCTTGCGAGTTCAACCGCTTCTTCGTTTCCTAATATGCCGAAATGGTTTAAAGAAACAATTCTGAAAGAGTTTTTAAGTCTTTAAGTCTAATAATATTAATCATGCCTTATATGTTCTGAATATTGGAGGAAACATTGTATGGTTTTATATGTGGTTGCTTCAAATAATTTTTTTTCAAATACTTAAAATGACAATCCACTAAATTTGAGTTAAAACAAAACCTTCTTCTTACAAAAATATATAGATAATGCCTAAACTACTTATACATAGAGATATCATTGTCTATTATTTGTATAAGTAAAGACTCGTAAGGTAGGAATTACTTATTTTAGGTAACTTTCAATTAAACCTAAATTAATTTAATTTAACTTTTTATATAAAACTTAGTAAAGTACATGTCAGTAGTTTTAAGTTTTAGATTCAATAAATGAATTTCAAAAAAGAAAAATAAAATTTGTTACAAATATTGCAGCAAACATAGTATGATGAGGTTTTTAGGAGATTAATTTATATCATTTTCTCACATTATATTATAATTAATTAATTTAAAATCAAATTAACTTAAATATATTCCAAATTTTATAATCTAATTAAAAATTTATTTATTTATTTTATTTTAATTCTGTTTTTCTTTTTCTGTATTTTTCTGTATTCAACACTCACTGCCCCAATACTTTGTGTTACCTACAACCGTCGATTTTTGAACATAATAATAAATAATTTTGATGTTTGCTTTCAGTAGTCCATGGTCCATATATGTATATTTTTCTTTTAACCACTTTTAATTAACAATTTATGAATTACATTAGATGAATGGCTCTCCATATTAAAATAAATATCAATGTTGAAGACTAATGTTTGAGCACTAAGGAAAACTATTAAGTCTCTGTGAGCTAAGACCTTTGACAATTGAAGTAATTGTATTTAAGGATGACCTCTAATACCGGAAGAAGTTTACACTTAAATGAAACTCACTACTTCGAGATGAGACTATTTTATTTAACTTCTAAACGAGCTACTCATTTTACTGAAATTTACTTCTCTAAACTATGCTTAAAATGACATGGCAAATATAATTACCTGAAGTGTTCCGAAATTATGTTAACAATTAAAACTTATTTACATCTTTACTTAATTTATTATTTTTACTACTTGTACTTACATTTGTAATCAAAGTTTTCGCTATTAAGGTTTAATGGAACACTCTTATGTCATCTCTTGTCATGGCAAGATAATTTGAGTTTTAGTCTTAAAACGGTTACAATGTCGAATGTGCACTTGAAACGTTAAACGACCGTAACGGAATGTTGGCAACATTTAAGCGATTTCAATATATTTCAGACGATTTCAAATTAAACAATCACAAAAGATACTTTTAAGATTAAAACAAAAAAAATTACATTTATCAATTTGTTCATACTATGTACATGGTAAGTACATATGGTAACTTGGTAGATACGTGTGAACGTCGGTTACTAGAGTTTGGGTATTTCTACATATAGACTAAATTGATCCATTATGATATCACAT